ATTTGTGGTTAACCTGTAGCTCTCTATTTCTCTTTCACCAGTTTTTTTTTTTTTAGATTTATTTTTATTTATTTTAGAGAGAGAGAGAGAGAGCATGAGCAAGTGGGGGAGGGGCAGAGGGAAAAGGAGAGGAGAAGGAGGGAATCCTCAAGCAGACTCCCAGCTGAGCTTGGAGCCGACACAGGGCTAGATCTCAGGACCCCGAAATCATGACCCGAGGCAAAATCACGAGTTGGCCACCCAATCGACTGAGCCACCCAGGCGCCCCTCTCTGTCATCAGTCCCATCTTCTAGTTGCTTCTGAGTCTTGTCTCTCTATTCCATTCCTATATTATGTTTGTACACATGTGAGGAGCAACATACCACATAAGTGATATGTGAGAAAAAAAGTATTTTATCATGGACTTAGTTTATCATGGTTTCTAGAAGAAAGTAGAATTAGATTTAGAATATATCCACACTGAATATAAATCCCTGATCTGGTCAGAAATAAAGACGCTATTATACTTCAAATGTCACATTACTATACTTATTCACTGGCTGCATTGGCTCAGGAATTTACTGTTACAAATCATGGTAATTAGGAAAGTTTGGAGGTTTAGGAATGCTGACAACACTGACTATATTTGGCCCTCCATCTTGTTCTCACCTTTGGCACACAGCTGGCACCACTTTAGGTAACTACCCTGTGACCTCACCACCATGTCTCTCACTTTATAAAAGCTGTGAGTTGAGATCCGGGCTTGGCCAGGGCAGCTGGAAATGAGCACTGAGAATGCTACATACCTCCTGGATTGTTGGTACACTCAGTTATTCCTGTAAGTAAAAACTCTGAATAGACCCTGAATAAAACTCTGTGTAAACACTATGGGATGGCTTGCTTTACCTTCTCAGTTTGGTGAATACATTACTGACCCTCCTCCCCATTCCAACAGTTGGTTTAGTCAGCATGTTACCAAAAATGAAAGAAGCATGAGTAAAGGGGCCTTGCCAGGGGAAGGCCCAGTGTCTGTGGAATTGGTAGAGCTAATGAGCTGCTTTAAGCTAAGGGTGGTAGCTTGGGTGTTAGGACTATCGGATACTGGGGGGACATAGCATTATGTTAAGTGGGTTTGAGATGTCAAAAACAGCCTCGGTCACTGATCAACCTGCCTTGTGACAAAGATTGTATACCACAGGCATGGGTGAGAATTGCAGGCACTTAGCTAATTTGATTGAATAAACGCTAGCATTGAGATAACTTGGCCTAAGGAAGGAGATGTTCCCTTCCCTCTCTTATGTTGGACCACGGTAGAAGAACTACAAGAAATTATTCATGAACTAGGAATGAAAGCTGGTATTTATGTTCAGCATTTCAGAGGCCCTGGTGAAGAATGGCTTTCACCTGGTATGGAAGACCTCTTACGGTCAGCCCTAGAGACTTCAGTACCAACACATTGCTAGAGTAGCCTCTGTGGTGGCTGACAAGTGAAACGAAAAGAATCTGTCATAAAGGAAATAGGTTGAAAAACAAAAAACAAAGACCTTGTCAATGATAAAATGGTGGAAAGGGGGCCCATTAAGATCTCTCATAAAGAGTTGTGGCAAGATTTAATATTATCTGGAACCTTGCAAGAAAATAGAAACAACCAAATTCAGTCTTGCTCAGCCAGTAGAAGGTGTTGCCTAAGGGAAACCAGTTTACTCCCTTGAAGCAAGGCTCAAAAAAGCCAGGTGTGTTGCCAAGTGTACCTCCCACTAATGGAGGAAATTCAAGGGTGAATACCCTGTACCCGTGGAGAGTTAGGGGTTAGGACAACATTGCCCTCTAGTGGGTGCAATAGGGGGCGATCAGAGGCACAGTGTTGAATTAATCATTTCTTGGTTTTGTACTGACTGACTCTACTAGCTTTAATAGACACTGGAGCTGAATGCACACATCTATGGAAACCCCTCAAAATTCCGGGGAGAGATTAAGGCTATTGATGGTTATGGGGGATAAATCATCAAGGTCAAACAGACAAGTCTCTACCTACAGATAGGCAGGTGACATCTCCACTATTTTCTAGTGAAGTCAGGTTGTGTAACTTGGGATGATATATCCTCCGTGTCTCAAACGGCTGAGTCATTACAGGCATACTAAAAGTCCCCAGAATGGAAGGGAAAGACGAACAAGATCCAAGGGCCAGGTCAGTCAGTAAAATTCCTGGGTGTCATCTGGTTGGGTAAGACAGAGGCGGTGCCAGAGGCAGTCATTGATAAAATACAAGCTTTCTCAGTCGTAAAACAGTAAAGGAATTACAGGCTTTTGCTGGTTTGTTGCATTACTCGAGACCTTTTACTTCCCATCTAGTGAAAGCTATTAAGGCCTCTCTAGGCTTTGGGTAAGAGAAGCCAGTGAGGTTGGGGTGCTAATCAGTAAGAGGCTTTCTTAAAGATAGAAATGATAGTAAAATGAGTACAGGCTCTGGGCACAGGTATTGATGCCAGAAGTGAGTTGTGAATTAGAGTAGAGGTAAATTGATATCTAGAAAGGTTCGACTGGGGCTTGTGGCAATGACACAATCTGAAATCAATTATAGTGATTTGCATAAGTTCAATAAAAATCTGTTCCCCTTGTAACATGACAACATTGGAAACATCAGGTATATTATCAAGGCTTTGAGTGGAATGTCCTATCTGAGAAAGACATGCATAGGCTTTGATATGACCAGACAGCTTTAAGCAACCTCAGGATAGTTTGAGGCCCTCAGGAAAAGAGGAAGTAACCCAAATGGGTAGGTATTGCTTGTGAGTCTGATGGCAAGTATTTGGCTTGGCTCTTAGCCTTGAAAGGCTATTAAAGGCTCAGTCTAAAATTCTTTAAGAGGAGCAGACAACTTGTCCAGGTTCTTCCTTGGGCTGACTTGCAATTCTGGTTTTTGTGTCTGTCTGATACCCCACTATGAGAGTCCTCAGGGTTACACAGGGCTGTGTCTTTGGGTTCATCAACACGGAGAAGGCCCAGGTCACCAAAGCTGACCATTACTTCGAGGGTTCTGAATTGTGAGGAAGGAGCCCAAAAGAGGCCCTGGTTCCAGCTGTACTCCTACTGCTTTATTGGCTTAGGAAATCACTGGACCACTTCTGACCTCAGCTTCTTTATCAGTAAGACAGGCTCAACTGATGATCTCTGAGGCATTGTTTCCACAAGTGCCTGGAACGATGTGATGATGAATGGTTAATATTAATTTTTTTCCATTTTTTTCTAAAGTCATGTTTATTGAGGTATAATTTAGACACAATAAAAATGCACAAATCTTGGGGTGTTTGGCTGACTCAGTCGGTAGAGCATGCAACTCTTGATCTCGGGATTGTGAGTTCAAGCTCCAAGTTTGGTATAGCGATTACTTAAAATCTGGGAAACAAACAAAAAAACCCCAGCAAAGTAGATTTAAAAGCACCTAAATGGCCATTCACTATTCTTGCTGTACTTAGGTAAATAACGAGGCCAAGTTTGTTAAAACTGAACTTATACAAACAACTTGGTCTTAATTTGGTTACCTTTGCTAGTAATGAGGCTGATTTTAGGAAAAAGAAATTATCAGTAACACGTCTTTATGGATGTTAGATTCTAGTTCTGATTGCCCTTGAATGTTTATTGTTTGCCTATAAAAGTAGACTGGATCCTGGATTGTTGTGGTTTCCTTGCATATCTGATTAATTTTCTATTTGATTGCTTGCACACTCTAGACCTGATTGTGAAAGCCCACATGCAAGACTGTTAGGACTGAGGAAAGGACCCCTTTACCAGGTCACTGGCATATCTCATATCGATATTTAATTCTGTGACACAGGGATGTAAGTCACCTCCCAATACCTGCTTCTAGACTCATCACAGAAGAATGCTGCACAAAGATTGTACAGGTCATAAAGATACTGTGGTTGGAATGCAGGGGTGCTGACAACACTGATTCCATCTTGTTCTCGCCTCTGGTGCATAGGTGGCACCACTTTAGATAACTAGTAGAGATGACTAGTGCACAGAAGGCTCCACTTGAGATAACCAGAGGAGATCATCTGGTGCACAGATGGCTTTACTTTAGATCACTACCCTGTGACCACACCACCAGCCCCCTCACTCTATAAAAGCTGTGGGTTGAGTTCTGCAGTGGATGAGGTGGTCATTGTATAGCGCTCTGGATTGCTGCCCAACCGATTGCCTCTGTCGGTAAGTTACCCTGAATAAAACTGCGTAAACACTGTGGAGAGCTTACTTTGTTTTTTTGGGTATTAAACTGCCTTCTCAGTCCAGAGGATACATTCCTGACCCTCCTTCACCTTCTAACAGGAGGATTGAATAATTTACCAATTCCCTTTTCAGGCTTAGGTCCACAACAAGCTAGAAAAGGGTCAAAGAACAAAGAATGGTATTGATTTTATTAACGGTCATGCCATGTTTATTAACTTGCAAATACGATGATTTTGATACGTTCTGTTAGGAGTAATGGCTAGGACTTGAGGGCGAAATGAAATTGTCTACTGCTTATTCTCAAATTTAAACTTTAAGAAGTTCTGTTGAATTTGTAGAATCCAGTTTTTGGAATTTACCTACCTGGCCATTTGGAAAATCTTGTCTTGCCTCACAAACCTGGCATCAGCTTCATTAAAACTTCCTTGGGCCCTAGATGCTTTTGTATTGATGACATCACATGACTGCACTGATTAAAAATATCAGTACACTATATTGTAGGTTAAAACATTTTCTTAAACTTAAAATTTTATTCTGATTTTGAAAGTACTGAAAATTTTTTTTTTGTGGGCCTCTAGAAGTATTGTATACCCTACACAATTCATCTGTAGTGCCTAATGGATAATTGAGTCCTAACTAGAACAGAGGTTAGTAGAGTTACTATTGTTGTGTGTGTATTTGGTTGTTGAAGTTGTATGTGTGTAGGACATCTTTTATTGATTAACATGGTCTAATAGACGCCTGGTTCCCATTCATTTCCCCCCTGAGAAAATTATGGTTTCTTTTACAGAGAAGAGGAAGCAAGAGGCTGGAGAGGGAAGAAAAATGATCATTTCCATACTGAACTGTCCTGGGAAACAAAGTGAAGATCACTTTTTTCCATGGAAAACTTTGCGGCAACAGGTAAGCTCCCCCTCAAAGGCAGAGTAATCTATATTTGGCTCTCTTCGTTTCTACAGTGCTTCAGACACAGTCGGTAAGATATATGGTTATCATTTATGTGAAAAATGTATGCAAATCACATTTGATAATTGGAGACAAAAGTGGGTTTTCTGTTTTTCTTCTAATAGTGCCTTCCTTCAAAGTATTGAATGGTGATTCCTTACATCAGATTTGATACTTTTAGGTACTTCAGCTCCCATGTCCAGTTAGTGGTCACATTCTAAAAGCTTTTTCTTGAACCATGTCTTATACCTTCATCTTTATTTTTAAACCCTTTAGAATATATTTTTATCCTAATGAGCTTATTCTGGATTATGGATGCAAGATCAAGTATTCTAATAAAATCTATCAAAGGTGTGAGTGTGACTAAAGGAGTGATGCTAACTTCATTGTCCTGAGAGCAGATACTCCAGATTACATATCCAAAGTTAGATGTGAACCTATCTTCTGGGAGAAAGGATCAGTGAAGACTGCAGAATTTTTAGTTAAGAAGTGTGTGGGGGTGATAATTGTGGTTTGGATTTGCATTTCCCAGATGAATGATATTGAGTATCTTTTCATGTGTCTGTTGGCCATCTTTAGATCTTTCTATAAAAGTGTCTATTTGGGACCTCTGCCCATTTTTAATCAGATTGCTTGTTTGTTTTGGGAGGGGGGTTGAGTTGTATAAGATTTTTAATATTTCGGTTATTAACCCCTTATTGGATATGTCATTTGTGAGTATCTTCTCCCACTCGGGGGTTGCCATTTCATTTTGTTGATAGTTTTCTTCACTGTGCAAAAGCTTTTTATTTTGGTGTAGTCCCAATAGTTTGTTTTTATTCTGGTTTCTCTTGTCTGAAGAGACCTATCTAGAAAAATGTTGCTATGGCCAGTGTCAGAGAAATTACTGTGTATGTTTTCTTACAGCACTTTATGATTTCAGGTCTCACATTTAGGTCTTTAATCCATCTTGAACTTATTTTTGTGTATGGTATATAAAAAAGTGGTCCAATTTCATTTTTTTGGCATGTATCTGTCCAGTTTTCCGAGCACCATTCATTGAAGAGATGGTCTTTTCCCCCATTCTATAGTCTTGGATCTTTTCTTGGAAATCAATTGGCCATAAAAGTGTGGCTTTATTTCTGGGTTCTCTTTTCTGTTCCACTGATCTAAGGGTCTGTTCTTGTGCCAGTACCACACATGTTTTGATTACTACAGGTTTGTAATGTATCTTGAAATCTGGAATTGTGGTACCTCCAGCTTTGTTCTTCCTGAAGATTGCTTTGGTTATTTGGGTCTTTTGTGCTTCCATACAAATTTTACTGTTATTTGTTGTACTTCCGTGAAACATGCTTTGGATATTTTGATCGAATTGCATTATATCTGTAGATTGCTTTGGGTAGTATGGAAAAATGGGTGAAATAAAAGGAATTAAGAGATACAAACTTCCAGTCATAAAACAAGTCACAGACGTGAAAAGTATGGCATAGGAACTTAATCATTAAGGTCGTAATAATGGTTGACAGATGATGACTACACTTACTGGTGTGAGAAATGAGTAATGTATAGAATTATTAAATCATTATGTTGTACACTTGAAACTAATAAAACACTGTTAATTATACTTCAGTGAAGAGTGGAAGAAATGGGATGTGATCCCAGAATAAAGATAACCCAGGTAGTGCATGTCGAAAGAGCAGGCCATTGACAGACAGCTTACAGCTTTGTATAGATAAGGATTTTCAGTAACATTTTGATGCAATTCCTCAAATAAGAATCAAGTCTCAAGATGGGAAATGGAATTCAGATCACAAGAAACTTTTAAAGAAAACGTACACATCTTTCTTTGATTATATGCATTGTGTATAGTCTTGAAAAAAAAAAAAAAATCCTGTTTGGACCTTACCCATTCTCCCTGTAACAAAGTTCTCTTCTTATTATCCTGAGACCATCTTCTTGATATATTTGTCCTCTTGCATCTATCATCTCTATTATTAATCCTCCAATAGTCAAATCTGTAAATGGGATTTGTTAAAAAAATGAGGTGCTGTGGTCAAATCAGGAGTGATTTCAAGTTTATAAGGCAATCTAGGGCTGCTCAGATGACGTTTGCCTAAGTTTAAACCTGGTCTCACACTTTAGTAAGGAGATAAACCTTCTGATGGAGCTTAATTAGTCGCATTATGAAGGCTAAAGGGACATAGGGTGGGAAGTCCCCATCTTTTCAGTCTCTCTGTTAGACTATAAAACAAACATGCCTTGGTAGTGTGGGCCAACATATTTTTTTCCCTTAATTGTGAATAATTGTGCTTAAGGAGAAGTCTCCATCTGAAAGTGTATCTCAGTGTATCAGGACTCAATATTGTCCCCTGCTTAATAGACATTTCATTATAGTGATTTTATGCTTGGAGTATATTTTTAGATTATTTACTCATTTATTCAATAAATATTGAGCACATGATCCTCATGGATACCTTAATAAACAAGACTGAGGATCCCTTCATTCATGAAATAATCTTGGAAATAACCAAATGAAAATAATCACATGTTCTGAGAGATGGGTGCAACATCACATTCATTTTAGTCAATTTACCTACAGAAAATATAATTCTAATAAGTCACTTTATATAGTTTATAATTTTCCAGGCCAGTCTTATTTATTTATTTACAACAATCATGTAACAGATAAGAAATCTAAAATTCTGAGAGGCCAAGTGACTGGTCCAAACACAGCATTAGAAAGCTGCAGTGCTGGACTCAGACCCAGTTTTCCAAGTCTCCTTTATATATTAAGATTGTGGTGATGAAATCCTCAGATAAAGAGCACATTTCATGAAATGTGGCTCTAAACCAATCCATTACTGTTGAGGGAAGCCCACTTTCCATGAAATTACAACATGTTAGAGATCATAGAAAAAAGTAAAGAAATGAATGACAAATAAAATGTCTTTGGAGAATTAAATGGTAATTTACCTCAAACAAATGATTTATATATTCAAAATCACATTTCTCATTATGAAGAACAACATGCAAAAGATTCATTTTATGAAGCTCAATGAATCCTAAAAGTCAAATAGGGTGATTTTACTACTAAGATCTCATACACATTTTCTTTATTGCTCTGATAGCACAGAAAAATTGGGATCTTTCTTTATATGGAAATTATTGTTTTATTAAGTCCCCATTATCTTTGGCAAATCTCAAAATTCAGCTTTTTACCTGTAAAAAATAACAATCCCGTTCTCGGTGTCTACTCTCAAATCAGCAGAACAAGTAATGTGCAAAACCACTACCAAAATAACTTCCTTTTTCCTGCAAGCATTGCAAAATAAAAATAAAAATAAAAACCTCAATTCCAAATGATAAAATTCTTCAAATTTTAGATGTTGAAAACGTGATTCTATATATCCTAAACCACCATTTACCCTCTGGACTATTGCTGCTGAACATTTAATTGTGACTCAAATGAATGTTCTAACATTTTAAAACCATTTTCCTTTGAACAATAACAGCAATAAGATTCAGGTGGCTGGAGAATACTCACAATAGATGGCATCCAATTACATGGTGGTGCCCTTGAAGTCTTTGTGTTTAGGCAGCAGGGTGGGAGTTATTTATTAGTGAAATACTATCCATTCTAAAAACAGTTCAGACCATTGCACAGTATACTCACTGTTCTATTTCTGCTTTTTGGAAATAGGTATGTTGAGCATCAGGGCAGTGACAAAGAAAAGCATTTATAAGTAGGCTTTAGGAAGCTGACACCAATGGACATAAAATAGATACATTGCATCTGTGGAACATTATCCCTTATTTCCAACACAGCGCTCATTGTTGGAACCTCTATGAATATTGTATGATTATTGCTTTTCACACAGTTCAAGAAGACAATCATGTGGCACCATTAAGACATTTGTGTTTAAATTTTTTTTTTTTTTTTTAAAGAATTCAGAGGTGAGCATTGATAAAAGGGCTGGGTGAGAATGGGTGTTTGAGGCAGACCTGTCTAGAAAAGCTAGGTCAAGTCACCTCTGGTCATGTGGTTAGAAAAAGATTACAGTGTGCAAACCAAGAAGCTTTTCAAAGTCTTCCTTTACCAATCTTCATTCTTAGTAATTTTTTTCATGTACACATTTAGATCCTCAGGAATAAATTGAAAAAGTCTGATATTCTCACCTGGCTTCTCATTCAGAGTAATGAATAAAAGCCATACTGTTCTAATTATTTGTCCAGTCTGATTCATATCTTAGAAAATTCCATGGGAGTAGGTACATAGGTAAATTCTTTTTAGTCAGTTACTTTAAAATACATAATATGGGGTGCCTGGGTGGCTCAGTTGTTAAGCGTCTGCCTTCAGCTCAGGTCATGATCCCAGGGTCCTGGGATCGAGCCCCGCATCGGGCTCTCTGCTCGGTGGGAAGGCTGCTTCTACTTCTCCCACTCCCCCTGTCTGTGTTCCCTCCCTCGCTGTCTCTCTCTCTGTCAAATAAATAAAATATTTTAAAAAATAATATATGGCAACTTTTTGTAGTACAAGTATACATAACCATAATTCAAGGTGGGATACTTTTTCACTTGATAATATAAAAAATTCATATGGGTAATTTTAATAAGTTAGTTTAAAATGTCTTATAATACAAGCATTTTTAGAATAGTATAATTTTGAGTTACTAATTATTGGCCATATCGGAGTAATGACAGCTCCCATCATCTGAATGCTGATATTTTTTTCAAACATATATTTAGCTCCTTTAACAACATTGTTATATAGGAAATATGGGAAATCCTGGAAGAGTTGAGATACTCAGAGTATTTGCCAACATTTTTCCCATGGTCAGTAATTTAAGATGAACTTGAATTAATACAGTTTTTTATTTGATATATAGTCAGAACATCAATTAAGGATGTATTAAACGTAGAAATCAGTGATAGTACAAAATAGATAACTCTTCCTTCTTGAAAGGAACATACAGTTCCTT